GTCGGCGCGTCTCACCCCGTGAATCCGGTCAGCAGCAGCGCGATGCATCCGTCGCGACCTGATTTCCAGACAATGGCAGCGACGTTTTTGCGCTGATGTCATTGAAAATTTATCGAACACCGCGGCTCGGAGGAGAGACCGTGCGAAACGTCTGAAAAGGGAAGTGCTTGTTCGCGATGCTCGTCCGCAAATTGCCGGATGCCTCGGCCTTTCCTCGTTTGCACCGGCGTGCCACGTTCTCCATCTCTCTAAAAGAGTTCCCGTAAATACAAATGATCGAACACGTTTGTTAACGCAATCAGCGCGTCAATTAAAATCTCAAGCCCGATTAAAAAGAGGAAAAAGAAAAAAAAAAAAATATTTTCCTTTTCTCTGTCTGTGAGCGTTGTTTAAACACTGGAACCACAAAGTGGTCAAAATGATCAATTTGTAATTTTTCTTAATTATTTATTTGTGAATGAAACAGTGTATCTTTGGAGATTCTCCAATATATAAAGACAGAAGCTTGTGTTCTCTTTGTGTTTTGTAATTTTTGCTCGAAATTTTACAGTTATGGAACAGTGCATTGTTGAAGATGTAGATATATTTATAAATATAATATTCTTTCTTAAAAATATTAAAATATTAAATAGAAGCCTTTTCTTCACAGTGTTACAAAGTTTTCCTACCTTTTTTCACTCAAATGTCATCGATGGAAATTTTATGTCTCAATCACGTCGGAGGGGTAGTCGCAACAAGAACGAACAATGCTGCAATTTGCCGCGGCAAGAGTTAATTTTCCGTGGATGTTATTCGGAGGGGCACGTCCGTGCGACTTTTCTCGGCGAACAATGCGAGATTAAGCAAACGTGAGCAAAGAACTGCGAAGAAACGGCGATATTCGCGACGTTTCTTCTTGGCATTGCGAGCGCCCGGAAATTCAAGCCCGTGCGATTTCCCTTTCATCCATGGTAAACTTCCGATGGAGTGTCCTTGCCGTATTTCCTTTCCGCACCGGCGCGAACCTTGGAATATCATCTCGTCGTGTTTTAACGACCATTCTCCCAACGTATACCGTGAACTTCCGCCCTTTCTTTCGACTTTCATACCGAAAATGTAAGATCATTCTTTCCAGCTGCTCTCCCTCGTTACAAAGCCCGGACGTTTCACGCGAAAGCTGCACCGTTGTGCTACGTAAACGAAGGTTGTTCATCAAATTGAAGAGAATTTTCGAGAGACGAAATTTTGCAACTGTTCCTGTTTATCGAAAATAATCCGCAATATTAGAAATAGAAGATTATTATTCGACGTTACTGTCATCGTAAATTGTACGATATCACGCGAGAGATTCATCACCTGAAAGCTCGCGGCGCCAGAAATAAAAGGTCGTCCTTTCCAAAACTGTTTCGTTGCAGAGCTTTGTTGCAAAAGTTTCACGCGAGAAACGCATCGTCGAAGAATAAATCCGCGCGGCAAACAACGGACAAGAATTTCTCAGCCGCGAATCAGTGAATTTTTATGACCAGACGACTGAGTGACATCTCTCGTTCGATCTGCCGTCAACGGCTTTTCTTCGCGTTTTTAATCGCTCAACGGAGCCATTGTCGAATTTTCCACGTGTTACGCGACGTGCCTTCTGCTCTTCGTTTTTCTTTTTTCCTCGGCGTTGTTCCACTTTCCGCGCGAGCCGGCGTTAAAAGAAATCGAAGATCCGGCAGCGGTATGATTGTCTCGGCGAAAATAAAAGGACGTGTGTGTGTGTTGTCTGTAAAAGAGGTGTATACTGTGCGATTTTATTGCGCGAGATTGTAGTAAAAAGAAGAAAGAGAGGAAAAAGAAACGCGTGTTTGATTAACACGTTGACTGCCACGTGAAATTCATATCTGCGTTCTACTTGTACGATGGAATATTGGTCATGGTTGTGTTAAATTTTATTATTTTTTTTATTACTTTATTACGTTACGTTACATTTTATTATTTTATTATTAATTTTACAATATTACGTTATTATGTTAGAATTGTGCTACGATGAAAGTGAGTGTAGTTTTCATTTTATGGTATTATCTAGTGAACTGAATCAATAACTATGAATTACGCGTAGATCGTTCTTTATTGCTGTTAAAATTAACACGTTCTCTACCAGACTGTTTGTTTTGTGTAAATCTTTCGTACATTTCCAAACATATTCATCTTGCTTGAACCGTTTAAAAATATTCCTCGAAAATATATCCAGTCAACGCGTTAACTATTAAGAATTAGCCTCTTGAAACCGGCTTTTGTCCTATCAAGTCCGACAGGTCGAGGACCATCTTTTAGGAAAACGTTGCATTAATGCGCACGTTCCTGTAGATAGAACGTTGCCTGATAAGCTTTGTTAATTAAGCGGCTGATTAATGGAGCTTGTTTAAGGGAAATAACTTTAAGAAAACAATAGATGTCACATTCTCTCTTCCTTTTATTTCGGTGTGTCAAACGTCGAAACGAAGCTCACAGCTGTTCCATCGATATACATAATTGTACTTTCTGCGAGCTTTTCTTCTGGGTTTAATGACTTTTCTGTCCATCCGTCGTATATTTTATCATTTCTCTTTTTATTATAGAGAAATGCAGAACAGTATTGGCCAAGTTTTTTTTGAAAAATAACGTAGTAATATTAAAAGGTGATATAGATAATATTTTCCTTAGTAATATATTGTAATAGTTTTTAGAATTATTATTTAAAACGAATTTGGTCCAGTTAGAAAAATGTTGTAAAAATATCGTTGTAAATTGTCTATTAAACGAGCAAGCTTTTGAGGCAAGTACGATTGTCATTGTTCTTTCATATTGTTTTTGAATTATTTCGATGTACGCACCTACGTTGGAAAAAGTTTGGTATAAGAATAAAATTCCCCTCCGTCATACAATGTGACATTCATCTATTCAATATTTTATGGAAACCGAATTTTTTTTTGGAATCGTACATCTGCATGCCTCTTTCTTAATAATTCTTCAGTTAAAATACGCACCATTTAATATATACAGGATATCATTGCCCTAATAAAATATTTCCCAGATATAAATAATACAAATATGTTTTACTATTATTATGTATTCTTTCCCTTCTGTATTTTCATTCAGATTCATAGAGTATTTAATTATCGGAACGATTGATACTTACATATGTAGATCAATGTCTCGCTCGATTATCCATCTTTTGCATTTTCCAGTGGAAAAATATTTTCCATTAGACGAACAAGTCTGGCTTTTTATTTTCTATAAATACGGCTATCATTGATCGTCCGTATTGCTTTTAAATTATTTGAAACGCATCGGATGAAGAGCCGTTTCATTCCGTATATGGCGCGTTTGGGAATATCAATACAGCGGGCTTCGATTTTTGCAAATCCGCTGGAGACACGCGAGCAAATATAAATATATGTCTATTTTTCCAGAATAGAAAGAAAATTTCCGTGACCAGTTGTTACCATGAATTGTCTCATTCTCTGTTTCGTTGTTATGGAAAACAGAGGATGAGAGAGAGAGAGAGAGAGGCCAAATAGATTTTAAAGAAGAACGAAAGCCTTTGGAAAGTGATTGATTACCCTGCGCCGAGCTACGATACATGGCGCTTACTTTCTTGCTTTCTACGCCGTTGTAAAGCGTAATAGCTGGGCAATTTTTCAATGTAATCGTTACCTGCTGCAATCCATTTATGATTTTTTCCCTTTCCACCTAATGGAACGAATTTGCATCCTGCGTTACGATTCGCAGATTGGATTATCGACTTCGTCGTTCTACAGTTTGCATACATTACGGCACACGCACAATGGGACAGAAACGATATAAAGATAGAAACGAAAGATCCTCTGAAAATTGTAATTGTAGAAATCTAGCGTAATATTAATAATAATTGGCCTATGTGATATCTCGGATCTGCTAGTAATCCGCGATAAATTTCGAAAGAAACGAGACTGAAACGAAAGCGAGCCGGGGATTCGTTAAGGAAAATGGAGCGTGCTCGTCGACACAACGCAGTGGAAAGAAGAAGAAGAAGAAGAAGAAAAAAGAAACGGCGCGTAAACGCGGTACAAAACCGAACCGTACGGAACAAGTTTCCTTTTGCTCCTAATTGACGGGGCTGGGTCGTGCAAAGTGCTGTTCAAAGGCTCGCAGGCCGATTCCATATGCACCCCAGTTCAGCAATTCCACTTCAGCGAAGGGCTGAAGTTGTTTCACATGCGTTGGAACTCGAAAGAGAAACAGGGGAAAAAAAAAAAAATGCACCGTGCGAGAAAGGAGTCGATAAGGGGTGCGGATACCGCTGAGAGGATTTGCCAGTCGCCGCGGCGCGTACTCGACTTTCCGCGGGAAAAGCTCGCGAGCCTTGAACGCCCATCATCGAGAAGCTCTCGCGTTTGGAAACTTCTCATTGTCAGTCTCGGAGCGAACTCTGCTAGGGAGAAATCACGATGATCGAAAGTCAATCTCCGCAAATTCATCGTTCATCCGGAACATGCACTGAATGGATAGTCGACGTGACTGTTATTAGATTGTTGCGTGTCCGACGGATGATCTCGGCAATGCGTAAAACTATTCAGAATTTTTGAATAAAAGTGTCGTTCAATAATCACTTAATTTGCGTTTTGGGGTAAAAAGAGAGAAACGTGTTCTATACGTTTCTTTTCCAACATCAATTTGGATTGTACAACACTGTGCATTATCTAATTGAGTTCCTCTTTATTGCTATTGACAATTGTTTTTATTATTTTTATTTATCATTGTCAATAGTTATTATAAATATTTAATCAAATATTAAAAGAGAAGAAACTCGAATAATTATAAATTCTTTAACACTCGGTTGGCTCAATTACGGCGAACTTTATAAATATATTTCTTAACTGCATTGGTTTGACTATAGAAGTATTCGTAATTTATTTCACAATTTCGTAGTAGTTGTTGAAAACTTGCTAATGCAGTTTGAAGATAAAATTTGACGTTAATGAGTATTTCTACATGAATGATATTTTTTATTGTTTCAGGCTCGATCAGCCGGTGACCAGCTCGACGTCTGGGATGGACAGCAAAAAGGTACAAACGATGGGACTTTTTCAAACTACGACGATCAATACTTTTCATTATAAATGCTTGAGAAGACGTTTCGTTGATGAGAAAAATTTACTTCACTTATTTTAAATAAATTATTTATAATAGTTATCGGTTGCGCATAATATTCCCTTTCGGTTGTTGACGAGGAAATGGTATAATAGTTATCAGCGAACGAAATTTATTTCTGTTTTCTTTCTTTGTCAATTTTCGTGCGATCTGCATCAGAAAGTATCTTCAAAATGTTTCTAAAAAAATAAATGTTTGCAAAAAAATAATTTACAATTTGCACTATTATGAGCGACGGAAACAGACATTTTTCTCTTGTACAATTATTGCGAATAAAATGGAATTCTTCTCATCAATAATGATTGTTGGTACATTGCAGATTTTTATGCATTTACAAAAGACTTGAAGGTACAAAAATTGCGCCGAAAGTGCACATAATACGAGAAGAATATATTAAAGTATTCAAAGTATAGTGCTTTTCACGGTAATCGATAAAGAAGACAATCTTCCATCTAGATGTTTTTAATAAATTTTTTTATAAAAACATTTTGAAGAAAAATCCACAGTCTCGTTGTCGACAATGCACAGTCTTACTCCGGCTACTTATTTCTCATTTTCTTTAACAATCAAAATTTTTCAATCACGTAGTTCTTCGAAATATTTTCCCTACAGTTTTACGATTAATATTCTCGACTCAATAAGTTTCGATTACTGATATGTATTTCTCATAAAAATCTTCGAAATCAAAAATTACTTTTCGAGAAATTCTAGTCGAGAAACGTCGCGTGCACGAGCTGATACAAACCGCCAAAGAACCTAATTAACCACCGCGACCGTTTCGAACAAAGACATCGGCAACATCGGGGAAGATTGGGATAACCGAGGGCGGAAGACCGAGAGTTACTTGCCCCCTGCCTGAGAGGGCGTTGCGTACTTTCGTTTGAGTTTGAGCAATCGATACGCGTCATAGGGGTAGTTGTGAAGGTTTTCTTCTTCAGGTCCGTACGATCCGGGACTCTGGTAAACTTAACGATGTCGTTTGAAGTTAACGCGATTAAATCGCGACGAGCGATATAAGCAGGTCTGATCCAACGCAGAGATCTCACTGAATTAACCGGGCTAACTTTAAACGCTTCCCAGTTACGTCGTTTGCTCCTTTGATTACCGGTTCGCTCTTTGATAAACTGCCAGTCACTGCGCGATTTAATCAGACCAATTATTCGCGTCTGCAACAGTCCCGCGAGTTCGCGACCTAACGACCGAGATAAATTTTTAGATAAGGAATATCGCAGGCTGAGAGAAGACCTTCTTTTTGCGATGTCGCGAACTTGCGAACTAATAATTTCGGGGCCATTTCACGGTTTCGTTGTTGAAAGTCTGCTGTTCCCGCTGTTGTCGCGTAGAACGAAGATCGTAGCTAAAAAATTTGACGGTAATTTAAGCTGTTTGCAACTTCGTAAAAAAGAAATCGTATGACAATCCGCTTGGTCTCGTTTTAAAGCTTTCACACTCCTTAAATTCGTTTTCTCCAGAAATGATTTTTTTTAGAAGATAACATTTCTTCAAAATAAAATAAAATAATAAAATCTATATAATAATATATTTAATAATATATAAAATAATAAAACATTTTTTTCATGAATAGATCCAACGTTAGTCTTGGAGACTGAAATTTCCTCGCTGTGTGCGATGATATTTTACCTCTTTCCTTTTTATCGATCACGAGTTGACGAAAATAGAAATCAAACTGCGAGAAAGATATAATTAACGTGAATTAAGATCAAACTTTGGTTTAAGATCAAACTTTGGTTTAAGATCAAATATGATTTTAAAGGAACGATACCTAGTATTGGATACGTCATCCTGAAAGGAATTTTTGGTAATATGATTTTAAAGGAATGGCACTTAGTCTTGAAATAGTCTGGAAACGGCCACAAATGTAATATAATCATCAGAACATTTAGAAATATCGGTGCAAATCTTGTATTCTTGTCAGAATTGAATTCAAAGTCAGACTTTAGTTTCTGAAAATGTAGCTGGTATCTGATACTAGTAAACTAGAAAAGTTGGAAGTTAGGAATTATAGAAACTTATCCTTGTATTATAGAATTAGAAGAGAAATTTATATTATATTATAATGTAAAATATAATATATATATATATATATTATATATATATTATATTTAAAATATAATATAATATATTATACATATTATAAAAGTTTCATATTATAGTTTAAAAATCTTGTTGAAGTTTTATATTACAGTTGAATGACGCATTTCGAAATTGTTATTGAAAGAAAATTGAGAAGTTCAAAGAATTACAATAATATTACAATATATTAAGATGTAGCTAGTTTTTCTATACTGCTTTGGTGTTTCTAGTTGTTTCATTTCATCTGGACATTTCTAACGTGAAAACTATCTGCAAGAAGTGCTCCTTAATTCTGGAATTCGTAGTTGTTATGAACCTAAAATAATCAAACTGGACGATAGATTGAATCACGTGCAAGTACGTGCTATTTGAAGGATAAACGTAAAATCCAACCACCGAACACCAAAACGTTCATCTTCCTCCGTAAGATTCGCCATTTTGTTACTGTGTCGTTCCATTAGCTTCCCACGAAGGTTGCAAACGATGAACTAAATACACTTTCTTTCCGTCATTTGTCCCGGAAGCTCCGGCAAAACGGCGCGTGACTGTTCGCATCGTTTCTCCGCGGAGCGACGCCACGTGGAAAAACGGTGACGAACGAACGCAAAACGCGGTGGCAATTTTAACCTGACACGAACCGTTTCGAACGTTCTGGGTCGTTCTCGTCCCATTTACGCGCGGTGGCCGCAGTGTAGAAAAAAAGAAGTCAGGCTGGGCAACTTTGTTTGTTCGCTCTTTTCGCGAAAGGAACTTCCCCGAAAGCAATTGATGGAGTTCCGAACTCGCTTCAAACCGTGAAGACAGACGACTTTGTAATTCGATGGTGAAGTGGAAATTTCGGTGAGCAATTTTCTTCCTTTTCGGAAGCTGTCAACTGCTCAATACTGGCGATCGAGATGTGAGAAATATTTTAGTGTAAAAGTATAAAAATCACAAAAATACACTTATATGTAGGGGTGTGCGAGAACCTGAAAATATCGGGAACCCGATGATCGGGACAAGTCGAGTCGGGTCCCGGAAAATTTCGAGATTCCCGAAGGAATCGGGTTTCCCGAAAAAGTCGAGATTCCTGAAAATTTCAAGACCCGGCTATCGTTTCTCGAACTACTCTACAAGTATATACGCTGTATAACAGCCTACAAAATATGTAAATACACAGTTCAAGTTCTTCTGCCAGTTAAAGTTATTGGAAACACGGATTCTAAGAATCGTGTGACCTGATGTAAACGAACGCGTGACTGCGTGCTTCGTACTTAAATATTATGTACGCTGTTGAGCAGTATCATTGAGAAACTCGGCGAGCTCGGACGTATGTTTCAAAATCTGTGTGAATTTAATAAAGATTGAAAATCTTTAAAAAAAAATGTCGAGTGATAGTGAGAGTAATGTTGTGGTAGCAGGAAGTAGCGCAGAAGACATCGTGCAAAGGAAGAAGGTAAAGAGAAGCTCTGTTTCGGAACATTTTCAAGAAAAAGATGATACAAAGGCGGAATGCACGCGTTGTCACCATGAATTGAAAAGTAAGCAAATACTACTGGTTTATTACGCCATTTGAAGCATATCCATCCAAACATAAGTATATGTACTAGAAAAGAAACTGAATCGATATAAAATTTGTCGCATGTACAAAATGATACGCGAAAGATTGTTAAACTGAAAGATATGACAGAAGGAATTACTCGAATGATGGTTCTAAATCTGCGACTTTTCGATATAGTTGAAAGCGTGGGCTTTAACGGATTATTTAAGCTTGTTCCTAATCCCAACTCTTTTGGGAATCCCGATTCTTTCGAGAATCCCGATAAATTCGAGGTAATTTCCCGATCCCAAAAAAATTTCGTGTTCCCGACCCAACCCGATATTTCGGGTTCTCGCGCACCTCTACTTATATGTATATACAATATTTTAAAACGCATAATGAGTTTATTGTGTATAAATATTTTTTTAATGACAAAATTTCCATCAATTTATTACGTAACGTATAAATTATATGTAAATTATCAGAAAATATATAAATATATTTTGCACAGAATAATAATAAATGTAATTATAAATATATTTAGTATAGAATAAATTATATTTATGTTAATTGTAAAATTATATAATTATATTTCAATTTATATTTATTACTTCATTTTCTGGAAAGTTTTCTCATATAAAAATAAATAAACCAGATAGTTAGATGATCTCATTTAATTGATATATCCCGTACTTACTTCGATATGAAATATGAATCTGCAAAGCCAGGCTTCGTGTGTGATCTATATCCTAATCTCATGATGAATATTCATTCCGGTTTAGCCCATACATAACAGCTATAGATCATCTATAAGACGATTCGATAACTGTTATTAATTCGTTATCGAACTACGAATGCCAATCTAATTTACGTTGACGTCTTCGATCTCATTCTTTTAGCACGAATTATAGTTCGATTTTACTTTAGTAGTAGTTGGAAACTTAGAAGTTTCTTTATTGCCAGACTACTGATTTCTATGCGTTTAAAGGAAATTCGAAGAAAGGAAAATGCATAGATTGTAATCGTAATAAAAGATGTAAAAAATATGCGAAATAGAAAATAGTTAGTTGAATTTTATTGTATTATTAGTGAAATACTTACGGTTGATAGAATTTTACTTATTTTATTGTATTTTATTTAAAATTAATGAAACTAGTAGACAAAACAATTTGACAAATTATCACTTTATTTAATTTTACAATCATTATCATTACAATTAAAATAATTTCGCACCACGACAATTAAATTTTATTGTAATTTTACATGATTACACTTAAAACGTAACAATTTTGATTGTAATTAAAATGTAACAATTTCGATGGTAATTAAACATCATTTTACAATTATTATTCGACTATCGATTTCAATCAAAATGCACAGAACACGCGTAATGCACAAGAAATAAATAAAGCACGTAACACACTATACTTCCATTCCAATAGGACAATAGACGAGATAATTGTTATTAGCAAAATTCTGTTATTCTACAATAATTGACAATATTAATAACAACCTGTTAATAATTAGTAAAATTAATTGATGAAACAATCTTTTATTTCGATTCCATTTCTGCATTCTTATCTTTCGTCATAAAAATTAGTGATATTATTGGATGAATATCCACAGTCTGATTATTATTAGCCGTTTACGCTAATCAGGCTAATAAGAGCTTTGTTTTCTCCTCGTGAAATTGCTGCACGTCAGCAATGATTGGAGAACGATCAGCAATTAAAATCGGCAATTCGATCAGCAAAATTTTTCGAGCGAAACGAGCTCTTTCGGCAACGAGGGCTGGAGGCTGAGGGGGAGATACGTTATCGGCCCTTTTAATTGAGCAAAACGATGAAAAACTTTTAGTACGGCCTCTGGAAATTTCTCCAAGCCTGTCTCAGTCGATTCGGCGGTTGGACTGACCGGGGGAAAAAAAAAAAAAAAAAACTCGAGAAGAATCTTTCAATGAGCACAAGTATTCCTCGGGAAAATTGGTCCACGGCCTGTAAAATGTGATTTGATTTCTCTTCCACTCTGTCGAAAGGGGGGTAGGAACGTTTCGCATTAACCAGCTCGTTAGCAAGTCCTGTTTTTTCTTTCCTTCGTGAAAATCGAACGGTCGAAATTTGCTGCCCGGTCGCTGACCTTTCGGTAGATCGATTTTATCAGATTTGGCGTGTCTCAGTTTTATTAATTGAACGTGGTCCAATGGTGCATTTGCTTCTTCGTATCTTGGTTATCGTTGCTTTAATTTAATTTATTCAATTCAGAGATATTTGTTTGAGATATGTGTGTGTTAATACATGTATGTTAGACAGCACGTTTTTAATACGAAATTATTGGCTATTTTAAATTCGATGTTACTTGATTTCTTGCCTTTTTATTGAAATATCCACGCGCATTCGATGAATAAAATTTATGTTTAATATTAATTACAATATGTGTCGTAACTCTTCAACAATCGAACTCGCATTCTATTTAGATATCCTTTAGAAATCGCGTTCGATTTATGTATTTATATATTCATATTTTGCTATTGTTTTGCCGCGCGCTGTATGGAATTCTCAGCAAGAAACATTATTTCGAAGTTACAAGCTGCAAGTTTTAAGAGAAATGAAAACTACATTCTTCTCTTCATTTATTTTAATTTTCCTGAGAGCCGGATTAATCTGCACACGTTAAAAATTAGTTATTATAAAATATGTTCAATGATAATCTGCAGGATATCGTTGATTCGAATGTTAATAAGAATCATTATGTGACTATAATAAACAGTGAAGTGTCAATTTTCGAAATGTATTTTTATTTTTTTTATTATCGGACGTGGTCGAAATAAATAACATCGCAATTTTACAAGTATCCCTGTCGACGTTGCTCCCTTAGTTTTATTTCGAACGTGAGATTTTGCGGGCAGTCGATAAATTTTCCATCGGATGGCCGGAATTTTCGTGCTAACTCGACCGGACAGGAAGCGGAAAAGTGGCTACCAATCAGCTATCGTGAAATCTGTCGCTTAGGAAGCAACATGGCACTGCACTTCGGGCTACTTTCTCGTCTGACCGGCGTAAACGAAGTTACTCTTTCAAAACTGACCGTACCAATAGTCCCTCGGTCCTCTATCCGCTGATTTTAACAAATTTCATCGGTCAGCCCGGCGACGTTTCGTCGAAATAATTCCGTCCCTTTTTGTAAACAGTTTTAACTCATTAAATACCAAACGATCACTCTTCGCAATTAGACAGTGGATTTTTCTGCAAATGTTTTATCTTTTATTTTTGAAAATGTAATTAGGAAAGATAGAAATTCACATCGGTGGGAAATTCTTTTTGTATGTTTTATGTAAGTGTTATAGGAATAATACGCTTATTTGCGTATTTTACGATGATACATTTTGTACATGCTTTAGATTCTTGCTACAAATTCAGAAAGATCTACGCGCGATGTCAATTTCTTTCGATTTTACAAGGTTGTAAAATTTAATAGTGGAAATAAGGGTGATAAGAAATATATTTTCTGTAATTCTTCGTAGCCACAATTATAAATACATCAATTTCCTCTTAAATTTCACAAGATTCTAGAGTCCTCGTGGAAGAAATAACAATAAGAAAATAAATTTATTAAAATTTCGTAGCCACAATTCGCAATTTTCCACTTGCTGCGTTCCATTTTCAAAACGCACCTAACCCAAAATAAAGTGAGCGAAACAAGCAAGAATAGAGTGAAGTGAAATAAGATAAATCCAGATTTATTTTTTGTTTCGCGAAATTGTAACAGTTTCGATATTTAGCGTTCGATACTGATTGTAAGTAGACTGTACAACCTCGGAAAGACACGGTGGTATGAGTAAAACTGTAAAATGATTGCAGGTTGTCCAGGCGGCGCCGCTGCCCGTACCTGTCCAGGTACGTAGCAAGAACGATGGCTCGGGGGTGGCTGCGTCGGTGTCGGGGGTACGCAGACGAAGCGGCTCCCAGGGTTTACGATCACCAGCCGCGAAGAGGCCACTCTCCGCCCCGGTTGCCCTTCAGGGCTGGCTACACAAACAGGGCTCCGAGGGGCTCATGCTCTGGAAGAAACGGTGGTTCGTCCTCTCCGAGTACTGCCTCTTTTATTACAAAGGTCAGACCTCTCTCTCTCTCTCTCTCTTTCTCTTTATCTCGTTCTCTTCCCTCTGGAATTACGTGTCGCGTTCCTTTCGTCGTGAAACCGTTCCCATCTTTTTCTCTCTCCTTTCATTTTCTCTCTGTCGTTTTGTCTCCGAAACGACGCAAGACACAATTCCCAACGCGAAGTGGAACACGCGACTCGTAATTCTAGTGGTTTCATTGAGAATACCTACTTACTTCTTTTTCTCCCTTTTATCTCAGCTTTCTTTCTTTCTTCCTTCCTTCCTTTTTCTGTAAATTTTTATTTAGTCGTAATTGTAAACGCGAATGGGAAAGATCTCTTTCCTCGCAGAGTAGAGAGTGTGCAGGTGCTTCTCGCGCTGGTTAGTTCTCCTGAATTAGCTTGTTTATTTCCGGCCATCGTGCCTCGAGTAAATTTTTAAGCAAAACGCTCCTTCTCCGGGAAATTAAACTATCCTTCCAGCTGCGAGTTTTTAATTTCTTTTCTTAAACGAACTTTAGTTTCGAAATTAGAAACGTAGAAATAATTCTGGCCTGTTCCCTGTTTGTCCATCACTGTCCAAAAGTTTGGGTCATCCTGTCAGACGTAATCCTGTTTCCCTGGCAAATGAAGTTATGTTACCATTAGACTGCATACGAAAGTTTTCTCGAATTTTCATTTTGTAATAAGATTAAGGACATTTTTCGTTCCATCTAAATCAACTTTCCAACTCGTAAATCATGTTAAAACTTTTAAAATATTTTTTAAAAGAAATTTACTATTAAAGTTAATAATTTTTATAAATATGAAATAGTAATTGAAAAATGTTCATTGATATGGAAATTTGATTAAACCCAAGTGCAATTAAAATTTTATACGATGCAATATTTGATACGCAAAGATCTAAAATAATACTGATAATACTGACTATTTATTTATAAATGTTTTAAGTTATATTTACAATTAAAGCAACACACTTTATGTACTAGTTTAATATTTATTTATTTATTAAATGTAAAATCAATGGCTGTTTCCGAACTTGTGGAGGGTAGTGACGAGAAGTAGTATTAGTCAACCATTGGTCAGACAACGTAAACATCAAGCTATCGCAAATGTTCCGTCCCTACATTATTCACCTACGACAAAATATTGATCGTATTAAAGTTGACATGCTTCGAGCTTCAAATCGACGTTTGATGCATACTATTTAACAGCACATTGAATCAGGAAATAATTTTATAACGCTTGCGCGGTACCCGCTATTTCATATGCAACAACCCGATAACTTCGCCTCGCTCACCTGACATTTTATCGCGTTTTCTGCTTTCATTCGCTTTCGTTACTTCCACGAGCGTACGTGCAATTAGCATTACGATAAGAGAATCGGTATGAAATTAACAATTTCCCTTCACCCATTTACGTGCCAAGCGCAAGAGAGAGACCTTGCCGTAGCCTCAACTTTCATCCGGCTGTTTCGTTCGTTTGTTTTTTCATCGTTACACACCCTGCCAATTTTCCGTCAGGCTGTAGCTGGCCTCCTCTCATTATCAATCTTAACTCTTTCCGGCCAGATCGTTCCCCGTGAAAATGCTAATTGCACGAATTCCTTAATTTCATACTCACTTAGCTGCTCTCCCCGACGACTCTCTCGAGACGACGCCCCTGTCTCTTTACTATGCGAAAATGCTCCCACTTATTTAATTGTCGATTCGAATTTTCAATTCGGAAATTCAATTTTCGAATGATGTCTATACTATACTAATTAGCTACTCTATCTATCTATAGTGTGCTCTATCTATAGTAATTTGGTTGTAGTACTCAATGTAATTTTGTGTATACTACACGTTTAAAGAGAATAATAACAGCAATAAAAAGGATAAAAAGGAAATAATTGAACAATTAAACAAAATATATCTCTATTCTCGGATCAATCATAGAAGCCTGAAGTGTCTGATTAAAATTAGCTTCGACGATCGGTAGTGGGTTGCTCGTCAGCGTCCCGTTACCATTGTCTCCGCAATTAAACACCGATTCGGGAATATAAAATCTTACAGAACCAACTCGGCGCGTCGTTGTGAACGTCGCACACTCGTGGCTCGTGTTTCGTCTGTAAATGGCCGTAATTTTTTCGTCGCGCGCGCGATTCCTTTCTTTCTTTGCCGAGTGAAACCAGCCTGGCATTCACGTGGCACCGTTGTTGTTAATTAACGCGATATTCTGCGATGGACGCACAATGGAAACAATGCGCGTCTGGGTCATTATCCCGCCAGTATAAATTAATTTACCATTGCGTTTTGCTCCACCTAAGCGTGAACTCGTTCACCGCAGATTTTAATATTCGCGCGCGTATCAGCGGATTGTGTTACAGCCTCGTTTCCAATTATTACCCTCGTTGTCTGTCACCATTGTCAACAACGTGTGTATCAGACGCAGCGAGCTTCCTTTCACCTCACTCTTCCCCGACTAATTTACCAATTATTCCTTCTCGCGTATTTAATTTCTACCACGAAATTGCACGGCGTTCCCCGTGCGCGAAACGTTATATTAAAACGAGCGTTTTAACGTAATATTGATTTAAAATCATTTAGATGGTGTAGTTTTAAACGGTTTCATATCTTTATGAAACGATAATAGAAAGACAGTTTCGTTCTTTGTTTTTTTTTTTTTAAATTGCGTATTTATTTTTTTCGCATAATCATCATCTGTTGCAATATATAATCGTATCAGCGTTGAATCAATTTTTGTAATCCATTCGTGACGAATTAAACACTTGACATTTCAACTATGGGCACGAACTCTCTTTACCTGATACTCTCTCTCTCTCTCTCTCTCTCTCTCTCTCTATATATATATATATATATATATATATATATATATATATATATATATATA